GACCTTCCCCCATTCAGATTCTCTCTCTCTCAAAATTAAATAAAGCATTAAAAAAAGCAGATTAGCATACTATTAGGTAGTATATAGTAGAATATTGAACTACAAATATGATAGAAGTAGCTTGAAGATGTTTTGATGGGATTTCAACTACGCAAAAATGGTTGGATATTATTCTGAATGAATATTGGAGTATCATTTATACTATCAAAGAATGGGCAGCAAGACACATAATCGCTTTCTCTTTAAAAAATAAACACTAAATACAGACTTGATAGTACCGTATAATATTTTATGATTATTTCTTCTCCGGCTGATAAATGACAACGTTTTCTATTTGAAAGTGACAAGATTCAAAGTTAAAAAATTCAAATTGGTTATTTTTCATCAGTTGTTGTTTTTAAAAAAGACATTGATAAATATAAAGGTATTATCTTAAAAATGAAGTCTATGCCAGTGCCCAGTGTGGAACATATTTCCAACTAGATTTCTAATTATAAAAAATTCTGTGCTTTGCCAAGTGCTGTCACATCTTGCGATCCTATAAACATATCTGTAAATTAGAAAGTTAAGCTATTCAGAATAAATTATTCTATACACCAATAATGATATTTGTGGAACATTTATTCTGGGGACTATTTATGTTGTCTTATTATACTCCAAATAAAAATATAGCCACCTTTATACTTTTAAAGTTTCCAGACTTTCATCCTTTCTAGAATTAGAGATGTGTAAATACAGGTTGCCTCATTAAATATAGTGAATTTTATAATGAGTTTTACTAATTTAAATGCAATTATACATGCTAACAGCTCAAAGATTTAAATTTTCATTTTCAGGAATCTTCTATTTGGTTAGTGCCACCCTACCATCCAGACACTGTTTAGTAAACTTTTGAAACTTACTAAAAGAGGTTTTTAATAATGGTTAGTATCCTTGTGCCTTTCTTTTTTTCTTTTTGTAGTCTGTTATATTAATGTGGAGAAACATTTTCGTTGTTGTTTTCACCCTAAGAAACTTACCTTATTTAATGACACAATTTGTGGTTTTCCATTGCTAAGGAGAAGTGACTTAAAAAGCAACTTAGTTTTCTTTCTCTTCCTCTCACCACCTCCCTCTCTTCCTTCTCTCCCTCACGCTCCCTCTCTATTGCCTCTCTATTTCTTTCCTTCTTTCTTTGGCTTCTCCTTTCTCCTCTCCTCCTCCTCCCTCCCCTCCTTTTCTTCTTCTTTATTATAAGCCAAGAAACTCCTGTTAAGTGCACTTGGGTTTTTCAAAGCCTTATTTCATATTCAATAAAAAGGCATTTTTAAAGTTCCAATTATTGTATGAAGTAGGAAAGATAGATTGCCTCTTGAATGACATTAAACCTTTATTTAAAAGTTAGACATAGTAATTTTTTGGCAACATACAGCACAGGGAAACAATTATAATGCACAATCATTTCTGCAGTTTCAACTTTAGATTCTTACATAGATAACGATATGGAATTTGCATTCTAAAGCTTTTTTAAAAAGTAAAGGATATGTTTTTGCCCTCATGCCACAATTGAACAGTACTTTATGGTATCATTAAATTCTTTAGGTTTCCCTTTTAGATTCTAAACTCTTGTTCAGGTCTAACTTTCTCATCGTTTTGTGAAGGATTAGAAACATTCTACAAGTGAGAAGAAAACCCATTGTTTCATGATGATTTTATTAATAGCCTAAAATAAAACTATTTTTTTCATAAACTTACACTGATAGATCAAAAGAGAACTGGTAAAATACAACTCATTCATAGGAAAAAAAATAGTAAAAGTAGTAATTTGACATTAAATAATCAGCTATTGGTTGGTTGTTTAAAGGCTACTTGATTAAAATGTTCACTTTCTAATAGCTTTGTAGACTAGTTAAAGCCTAAATGGTAATGGTAGGGGTTACATGCTTATAATTTTCAAAATTTCTGAATTTTTAAATATAATTTATTTGTGATAATTTAAATTTATAAAAGATGATGGTATTGTGGTTTTTGATTGGTGCAGACTTTTTAACCTATGTTTTATATTATTCAACATTATAAATGTTATATAAGATTCCTTAAAAGAGTTTTATATGCCTCTTTTTGTAGTCTGAAGTTCAGTGCAGTGTACTAAATACAGTTTACTCTTAACTTACTTGAAATAAAATTGAGTCATTTCATAGTTGAATGGGTATGTATCTTTATCAGATTTTTTTCCCAAAAGAAATCAGTTGTTTAGGACACTCTTTTAGTATGGACAAAAAAAATAATATATCTATTCCATTATTTTTTGAAACTAATATATTCAAAATGTCTAAAAAATCGAGTTTGCCAAGAAAAGTGTTTTATTTAGCATTTGCAAAATTTATTCATTTTAAGTGAAGGCTTATTTCAAACAGTTCAACGTTTTTCACATCCTATGCCATTTTAAAGTGTCAATGGCTTCAAGTTCTGACCTTGAATCTAATCAATTCTTCTGTTAAATGTTTCAACAGAGAGCCAAGACTAAGTTACCTCAAGACTATGTATTCTTCCCCCTTTTGGAGTCAGATTTTTCCATTTCTACAGTGTTGTCATCATCACCATCTTCATCATCATTATCATCATGTTCTTAATAAGTACATCTAATAGTAGGTATTAAGCAACGAGAAACACTATGTCCATCTACTGGCTGTCAGTGTCATATAAATCCTTTAATAGAAATATAATTCATGAACTTCTGAACTGTATAATTTAACACATTATAAATAATGCATGACAGTAACTGTAGTTAATGAGAAATTCATGTGTAGCATTTAATCATGACCCATTACAAGTACTAATAAATTAATATTTTTACTAATTTAATGTTATTAAACAAATGCCAAAGTTTTACCTGATTAATCAGATAACTCATATACATGTATTTTACTAAGCTTCTGAAAAAATTTTTAAGCAATTGAATTAAACACACCTTAAATTAGAATTCAAATATTAGGGGCATATGTAACTATTGTTAAAATTCAGTCAACATTTAAAGGTTACATGTGTGTTCAGCCATTGCCATGAGAATTTTATTTCTGCTCTTAACAATTTTGTGAGAGGGATACAGAGAAGACAGTGAAGCCAGATAGAAAACATGACAATGAGTGCAAAATACTGGAGGGACAGAACCGAATTAAGTGAAAATAATGATTCTGGTCATTTGGAAAGTGATTTCTGAATAACTGAAAATGTGAGTCATGTCCTGAGATATGGGATAAAGTTGGATTGATATGAAGGTTGAAAGAACTCTGCAGGGTATTAGAGCAAGAAGCAAAGGAGGAAAATCCTGGAGGTTCAAGCAGAGAAGAGTGTGTGTAGAGAAAAAAGAAATGGAGCGGGGAAGGTGAGGAGGAAGGAGGAAAGCTGAATCATAGAAGCCATGATGGGAAAAACAAAACCAAACCAAACAGGAGGTTTGGATTTTACCTGTTTGTTGGACAAAGAAATGCTATTAACAACTGGTTTAAAAATAATGTTTTCTGTTCTTTCTCACCCTTTGGGGAATGTAGTCTAGACAATAAGGAAACTGTTCAGGAACCCATAGAAGAGAAATGAGGATATATCCAAGAATGGGGATATATCCAAGAAAGACAAGAAGATACTAAGGCAGGGTCAAAAATCACAAAATTGGGTATCAGGATATCTTGCTGGAGTCTCAGATATGAGCTGCAGAAACTAATTTGCCTTTTGTCTGAATCAGTTTTCTGTCACATAGATGCCTACCTTAACTCAGAGTATTAGTTTGACTGACACAAAAGATTATGCATGCAAAATATTTTTAAAAACATAAGGCACATATATGGTATTAAATATTTTATCCTGTATTATTTTGGCATTAGCCTAAACTGATAAAAAATAAGGTAGCAACATTAAAGCAAAAAATGTCTCATACACAAATTTAATTAGGTTTATTTCACTATGTTTTCATATCATTTTGAAGAATTGTATAAATTTTTCATATTTGTCCACATATTTGGTTATTGTCCATACTTTTAGTTCTTACACAGAAAGACCTTAAGTATCAGCCCATCTGCATTCCAACTACAATATGAAACTCGTCCATGAGTCTGACTTATATGTAACTAATACACGTGTATCTCAATTAACTGGGGAAGGAGACTAACAAAATTTTGTTTCACATATATGATGCTGTAATAGGAATTGTGAGGAATGTGTAATAATGAGCCCCAGATATATAGAATTTCTAACAAAATCTATTGCCAATGAAATGGGAATTAAAAATAACATTTATAGGGTCATTCTTTTTAAGGATTAATTTATTTGCCACCTCTCAGTTATGAAGCCTATGTTGACAAAAAAATTTAATATTTGTTCATGTATTTTTAACGTGCTACAGTTTGTCATTTCATGATTAAATCATATCTGTTTGTAAACATCATCAATAGCTTTATAGGCATAATCATATCAAGATATGATGAATACTAGAAATTATTTTCCATGTTTTTATGTCTAAATGTGTGAGTACTGCTTTTGTTCTGTTTTGAGATGCATAATGAAGAATCCATGTTTAAAGAAAATTTTCATATTTCATGTTGTGATCTAAAAAGTAGTATATTTCCTCTGATTTTTTTAAAAAAATCAAGAATGGATTTCTGGTTATTGATTTGTGTAACTGTATTTATATTTAAATTTTAAGGTAGATTTATATTTTATGATGTTAATCAATTTTGCATCTGAAAAACTTATTCAACATATACATACCATGTGCATTCCTTGTTGGCAGTTAATTTCACTATCAGGTGGAGATTTTCTTTAAACTAGCCCACTTTGATAAAAATACTTGAATTATCATGAGTTGTTTGTTAAAAGTGCAACAACTGTTATAACCTTCTTAATGAAATTTTTCAAACCTTCAAGGCTTCTATGTTGACAAGTCTGTTGAAAATAATTTTAATATTATTTCCGGGCAGCTGCAGTGTATCTGTTTTATAATATTTCATTCTCTGTGTTGTTCATAGAGGTCCTTCTGTAGCGCCATGGTGGAAGAACTGAGGATGTCCCTGAAGTGCCAGCGTCGGTTAAAACACAAGCCACAGGCCCCAGTTATTGTGAAAACAGAAGAAGTTATCAACATGCACACATTTAACGACAGAAGGTTGCCAGGTAAAGAAACCATGGCATAAAGCTGGGAGGCCAAACACCCAAGCACAAACTGTCGTCTTTTTTCCAAACAATTTAGCGAGAATGTTTCCTGTGGAAATATGCAACCTGTGCAAAATAAAATGAGTTACCTCATGCCGCTGTGTCTATGAACTAGAGACTCTGTGATCTAAGCAGTTGCAATGATCAGACTTGATTTGCAAGCATCACGGATCAACCAAGTTACACTGGGTTACACTGTTTATCATGGGTTCCTCCCTTCTTCTGAGTGAATGTGACATGCGCATTTTGTGGCTGGTTTCAAATGCAGTCCAGTAGGAAATTACAGGTTCCTTTTGAAGTCCAACTGTTGCCAGGAGGTGGAAAATCGATGCCCCAAGGGTAACCAGTAAAAAAAAAATCATTAAAGAATAAAAATACTTGGAATCAGCAAAAACTGTAGTGATACAAGAAACAGTACAGTCTTCTGACACCCAGGTCATAGAGGTGATGATGTTACTAGCCCCCTGCTACTCAGTATAATGGTCATCTGAATAGACGATATGTGTTTATAGGATGTGAAAAAAAAATGTAATGCAAAACAAATCTGAATTTCATGACAAGTGGAATATAAAGCAGATATTCATCAGTGTTTTTCTTTCTTTCTCTCTTTCTTTCTTTTGACAGTCCTGTGTCACTGATTGAGATAGAAATGTCAATTACCAAGGCAATAAATAATGTTTTTCTTAAATTTACTAAAGCAGATTTAACATACAACTCTACCAGGTCCCTACCTATCCCCTTACACCCTTTCCCCGATCCCGTACCCAGAATAAAAGAGCAACAGTTGGTTCAAATATTCTGAATGAAAAAGGATGATGTTTTGCAATCTTTGTCTTAAGTTGTAAAAGAGGGCTGAGTATTGATGGTTATGTGGAAGACTGAAGCTTTCATTCTAACATTCAGATATGTTCATCTAAACCCTCGTTCCTGCTCTAAATGAACTTGATAGAGCCTGGGCAGATCTCGGTGAAAGGAGAAAGGGGACTGTTCATCTATAGAAAAGTATGTGCGGAGAACTTTGAAGCGGACTGCATTTATCAATACAGTCACAATGTTAAATGAACAAAATTCTTGAGCAGTTTTTTTCAAAAAAATGTTCAGGTTTATTTGTGGAAATGCAAGATTTCTATGAAAATAGTTTTTGTATGGAAATTTTTGTAATACTTTTTATCAACAAAACAAGAACATGTGTTCCTGTCAGGGGTGTGATGTCAAGCATGAATGGTAGTGCGTGTGCACCACCAACGTTTGGTGAAAACTATTTTTATCAAGAAAAAAAGGAATCATAGAAGATAAATATTTTCAAGTTAGATAATATAAAAGCTAGGTGCACTACCACCACTGCTTACCATGCCACACCCCTGGTTCCACGAGGCTGATAACATACTGTAATGAACAATTGTGTGTAAAATGGTAAAAGACACAGACCTCTTGACAACATTGTGATAACAGTTGAGTGCACACAGTTTGCTGTTTGAATCCAATGCACAAAATTTAAAAAAATCATTAAAATTATGTCCATTTTACTTTCATCTTTGACTTTCATTTCTCTCTTGTATGTGTAAATGAATGCACAATATGTTCATTGCATTAAGGGAAGTACACTTCCTGAATCCTTCTAGGTCATCAAGGATGGCCACTTCCCAACCATCTGGAGAAAAGAAGAAAAAGGCTCAGTGACGAACTACACAGATGTAGGAAAATCTGGATTGAGCTGTAATGTAATCTCTAGGTTTATGTCAGTTTAAATGAGAAAAGTAGCAACTCTAGAAGCAGCAGTCATGATTTTACTTTTTCTATGAGTAGATATTGACTATATTCATAGGGTTGTATAAGACTGTGTAGTGTTTACCAACAGTATACTTGAAGTTTAACTCATGCCCAATTTATGAATTCCTTGTGCATTGTTAATTCAGCAAAAGGAGAGGAAGAGATAGGCTTAATACCAACAATTAGTAATGTTGTGTTTTAGATCTTAACATCCTAACAGAACTTTGTTTTAAAGCAAAAAAGGTATCCATTTAAATTAGATGTGACCAAAAACAAAACAAAAAAACACAAAAGATAAAAAAATCTCTGTATTGTTTTAAACTCAAAGAAGTTGAATAATCAAACTGCTGACATCTAATTAAATTAACAATTAAATGCCCAAGTACTTTGAAAATTTCTACTATCAGAGTTATTTTAAATTAAAATTCATATATCCATGATGATTTTATTCCCAAATTTAATTTTAGAGAGTTACATTACCCACTCCTAAACATCTCAGCATTATTTTCTTAAATGGTAAATAGCCTCAACATATATCATAAAGATGTTCAGATTTTGGATAATATTAAGTTTTTTTATCAATTAGATTCTAATCATATTTTAAATCAGTTTTTAATTTTAATTCACTATTATATTAAACAAACTTAATAACAGACAAAAAATTACAACTTTAATTATTTTCAAGAAGTTAGGAAATAATTATTTCAATTTTTCATAAAACATGGCAATACTTTTATTCAAATATAAAAATATTTTGAAAAGTGTAAAAAAAACCTATTGTATTTTAACTCTAATGGTAACTTAGGATATATAAACAATGTATAATATTGAATTTTTATCCATTTCCTAAAAGATTTCTACATTATTGCCAAAACAGATATTTCCTTACTAATTAGGTATTTATGCGTCTATGAGATACTATTCTTAATCTTAATAAAATCTTGATTACTTTAAAAATAATTTCAACCAGTGAAAAAATGTGTCTTCTCTCTGGGAAGGTAACATATTGGAGTAAGCATTTTTCTCTAGCCTAATACTTAAATTATAAGAAGAAAGGAAGAGAACACCTATTCCAATCAACAGTATAACCTGACAACTTCAGGTAATCGAGATACATATATCATAAATAACCCCAGGCACTATGAAACACTAGTGGCATATACTTACATATGCCATAACCAAATAACCTTAATCAGATGAAAATAACAACGATCTATCTATCTATCCATCTATCTATCTATCTTGAAGCTAAATAACCCTAACAACTATAAGAATACCAAGTCTCAAGGAGATATTCACATATTTATAGCTGAACAACCCTAACCACAATGAGAATACCAAGTGGATATATTTTATCTTTAAAATATGTAAATTGGATAAGGATATTTTATTAATTAAAATATTTCTAATATTTTGCAACTCAATTACATTTTTAATACAAGTTCCTTGCTTTTATTGAATTGAGGATAAACACTAACAATTTAAAAGTATTTACCAAGATGTTACTTTTTAATATTTGTTTATTATGAAATATACAAACAAAAAATTATGTACAATGCATATGTACAACAGAATTATGGCATCTGGTTGTTGTGTACACCAGAAATTGTTCACCATGAATAGTCTGTTCTATATATTCTGTGACTAGGCTTCTTGTTGCTCACCACCAACTCTGAAATGTAAATTTAAACAGAGTACTTTCACAGAGAGAAGACAGTGCCCAGCTGTTTCAAGAAATAGGGCACGAATGTACAACAAAAACTTCATTAATGTCTGAACAAGTAAAGCAAAGTGTGAATAAAAATATGGATGAGGCTCACCCAAGAATTATGTTTTTAGGTTTAAAAGATGGTACAGTGCTAGCAAAGATTTTGGTCATGACAGTCCTGAATGTATCTATAATTTGAGTCACACTGTTCCAGTGTGGACTGATGATTGGTCCTCTGTATGAGATTCCTCCCTTCTGCCTTCTGAGGACTTCCTTAGTCTCAATCATGTTGAATCTCCTATTGCCTCTAACATATATCCTCTCATTTTGAGGTGTATCTCTAATTATGGTGGCTTCTAGAGAAGTCCAGGAAAATTCCATTTTATGAGATATTTCTGTACCTCTGAATATGTCTGAATGCTTTTATTTTACTTTTGTAAGTAATTGTTAATTTTTCTGGTTTTAGAGTTCTAAGTTGAAAATAATTTATACCTAGATGAATTTCAAGGTGTCTTTTCATTGCTTTCTTACTTCTAGTCTACTGTAGAAAAGCCTGAAATATTGAGATCCTTGATGCTTTGTGATTTTTTAAGCTGTCTCCTAGATTTAATTGATCTCTTTGTCCCTAGTATCTTGAAATATTGTAGTGATAGGCATGGATCTACTTTTATCCATCATCCTGGGCTCCTGCTATTTTTTTCACTTTAGGTACTATTGTCCTTCAGTTTGGGGAAAACTTTCTGAATCATTATGTTGGAGATTTCCTTTTCTCTGCTTTCTCTGTTCACTCTGATGACTTCTCTTAACATTAAATTATTTTAATTTTTAGGAGTTCTTATTTTATGGCTGTAATATCTTCTCTCATATCTCTGAAAACATTAACAGCAATCCTACGCTATTTCCTTCTTTCTGAAAAGACCTGTTTCTCCACGAGATGCATTCTTTTGTTTGCTTCTTTGGATTCCTATCTTATGTATTAGAGGTTTTCTTCAAATTTTTGTCTTTAATTCTTAGCAGCATGTGAATGATTATGAAAAGGGGACTAGAATATGAGCTGGAAGTTCTACACGCACAGAGGCATAAGAGAGAATATTTACCTAATTTGAGCTTCACCATAGATTTATCTAGATGGGCCATTCATTGATGAATCCTTCAAAATGTCCCTATCTTTGGACATTTCCCATTAGTCCTGTTAGATTCTTGTGAAAAATGTCTTTTAATTTCTAGCCTAGAGATTAAGGCCCTGATGGCCAGTGTTTTGATAATCACTGTTTAAGAGACTTGGAGCTATCCACATTCTGAAATCAGAACAACGTGGTCATTTAACCACCTGTTTCAAATATAGTATTTAGACTTTCAACTGGACCTCGCATGCTCCAGCCTGGAGTACTGCATTTTTAATCTTTTGAGAATAACACACTGTCACTGCTAAACTGGTGAAAAACAGGCTCCCAGAAGTCAAGAAGAGGGAAGGGAATATAGGGACCCACTGTTTTCAAAATACATTCAGTAAGTCCTCCTTATTGTATTTTCCCTCTGTTCTTAATGTACTTTGTGCAGCTGGTTCCTGTGCCTTTAAGAATTCTGTGATACAATCGGATTGGTTGACAGCTTCTCACACTGCCTACTTCACATTCTAATTTTTTTGAATCTGCTTAGTTAACTGTCTTTTGTTCCTATGCCTGTCTCTTTCCAAAATTTTGTTGAAATAGTCACCTTTCTGTTCTCTTTATTCTTGGAGTTTTATGCATTAAAAACAAAAATCTGTCTACCGTAATTTTTATGGTTAAGGAGTAAAATTTGTTGCATACATTCAATCCTTCACTGTTACCTGAAACAAAAACCATTCCCTTTAAAGATGATGTTATGCGGAAATACAATATAGGAAGCAATTAAAAACTAGGACTCCTCTGGGTCAAGTGGTCTGGTCAAACAGACCTTGCTTTTCTAATTGTAAAGAACATAATATTACCAATGTCTTCTTCTTATGAAATAATTTTTCTGACTCTGTATGTAAGGGAATACATTCACCATAAAGATGAACTTCACAGAATGGAGCCTAAGAATATTTCTGAAATGGGGAATAGTTCTATTTTAGTATCTGTCAAATAATGCTAAATTTGGAAGCCAATGTAATTTATACCCTAAGGGCTTAGGTCTAATTCAAAACATTCCAATTTCTATTATATAAAACTCAAGAAACATGTGTTATAATGTAGATAAGGAACACTTTGTTAGTGAACCACACTGAACTGTAAGATTTTAAGAATTCATCTTTAATATATTGCCTTACACTGTATCCCACTTTCACATTTATTATGAGGGTAACTTAAAAAATATTTTTAAACAAGTATATTCCTGCCTGTTTACAAAGGAGAATTTCTGTTTTCATATAATTCAACTGGATATTTCTGGATATTTCTATAATATTATAGAGTATAGTATAGTATGGCAGGTGGCAATGTCTTTGCTCTGCACAATGCCGTTCACTTGTAATAACTACAACTTTGATTCCCAAAATTTTGTTTAAAAATTTGGGCACTTTAATTAGAATTGGCCTGTTACTCTGTACTCTACCAAATGAATCAATTAAATATGTGCCCATTTCTTTATACTTAAAAAATCAGAGAATTCACATTATAAACCAAGTTTTGTGTTAGATATTGGATATGAAAAGCTGACTGAAAAAGAGACAGAGTGCTCACTGTCATATTTTGAAGAGGAAGCTGACCTTAATGAAATATGCTAACTACCTAAATACAAATTAAAAAGTGCTGTCAAAGAAGTGTTCTTTTCTATTAGAGTCTGATGAATAATGAGACTTCTGTCAGTATCTTCAAGCAGCACAATTTATGATGTAAAAATATGAGAATCGGTTAATATTTATAAAAGATGCACAGAGAAGCATGTATTGGTATAATGAGACACATTACTGATTTGTGTCTCCCTCCCAGGGGTATATAACTTCTATTGAGTTCAAACTTTGGCACATGGTAGGAGTTGTCCAGGTGTGAATAACATAAACTAAAATGTTAACTATGCTGTTAGCACACT